AGAATGCAATTGCAGCATGCGACAAATCTTTGTAACTCCTCTCGCACTCAACGAATTCTTAAAATTTTTGCGGCGTTGAATTCATAAGGCAATAAGCTCTTCTTCTGAATTCATTCCTTGGTTACTTAAAAAAGCATTTCGGGGCCCCTTCAGTTACATACACATGCTCACGCCGTATGATAACGAGTTCCAGTATGAATGCGGTCGCGTATAAAGTTTACTGGCAATCATTTAGAACTGTCTATGGCTCTGAGAAACTGCAGGGCAAGAAACACGAACAGATAAAAAATGAGGACAAGCGCTGATCCTTGTCGTTCTTGTTTTGTCCGTTTTTTCTGCTAGGCAGTTTCTCAGAATGATGTTTGACACATTTACCCAACCCGCCACATTAATCTTTCTATGGCGTTCATTTAACCCTACAAAACAATAAATAAAAAATGCACACTACAGTGATATACAACTTAAGAAGTCTGGAAAGGCCCCGCCCAGACGACTGAAACAGGACAGCTGATCACCTCCAGGAGTAATGAAATAGTCCCGTTCCATGCACTTGGCAGTGTTCTCTTGCAATGTTGTCACTGGCCATCCGATTCATCAGGTCAGTCTGGAGTACGCACCCATTGCTGTAGGCTTCAGTGCATCTGCCTTTGAAGAGGGAAATGGCATTGACTTCTAAAGCTGTATCAGACCATAGTTTTATTTTGACCTTTTACACCACTTTCCTTCCGCTTTATGAATAATTGAATTTCAAGATTTTAAGGTCCCGGGTTCACAATAAAAAAAATAATATCTGGGGTTTTACATGCCAAAACTGTCATATAATTATAAGGCAGGCTACAGTGAAGAGTTCTTGAAATTTCATTCACCGAACGCTTTTTTATGTGTGCCTAAACCTAAGTACACCGGCCGTTAGCATTTTGCCTTCATTGAAATGCAACCGCCGTGTCCTGGATAAACCTGCGACTATACATACCTATCAAATGTGCTCAACAGCCGAGCACATTTGATAGGTATGTATATGTGAATGTTTCTTTCCAACTCGAGCTTGTATGTTGCTCAAGTTGTATTCATAAGAATGTCAAACAAATTCTGGGTTGCCATGTAGTTTTAATTATCCTACTGCAGTATGATGGTCATGATCACTTTACTGCTAAAATCAGTTGCCCTGTGTTGCTTGTTAGCTACCATTTTATTTGGCCACGCTTAGTTGATTTTCATGTTTGCAGGAAATCTGTGGACTCAAATATATTTCAGATGATTAGTATATGCTCTCTTGGCCTTCAGTATTTGGCTGCAGCATTCGTTCTTCAGGTTTTGCAGGTAGTGGTGGTTGGGGTTGAGCACAACCTAGTGTCCAAGCACTTGAGCAGGATAAAAGCAGTGATGTCCCTACTATGTTCTTCATACGACCAGCCTGCACAGTGTGAATTCACGTGTTTTCATTTGCAGTGGCAAATGTGAGCACAGCCCTGACCAAGCTGTTCTCATTGTCTTTGCTGTCCTCATTATTGCCTTTAGTGTTAGAAATGTATTGTTGTACTTACTTCATTGTAAATTTTTGTATAATACTGCATGACCAATATATCTGTGGTTAACCTTTGTATTCGTTTCAGTACACTTAGCACAGGTGCTGCACCAGAAAAGCTAAAATTAATTTTGTACAGTTCAACAGCAATAATTTAGCAATCTATTAATTTGAATCCAGCATGATCACATAGTCTAACGAAAGTCATATATATGTGAATATGGTCTGTCGAGGTGGTACAGCTGTTAAGAGTTCTCAGCTCCTGATTCATTAGCCATGGGTTTGGTCTCCGCCACGGCTATCCCATTTCGGTGGAGGTGGAATGCCGGAAGCTTGATACTGGGTGATGTCAGTGCACATGAAAAAACCTCAGATGGTTGATATTTTCGAAGCCCTCCACTACATAGCACGCCTCATAACCCGATTGTAGTTTTTGACATGTAGAACCCTAGAAGTTATTACTATATTTGAGTATTCACAACAACTTTAAATATATGGAACTGCACAGCCTTTTTCTGACAAGAAAATCCGAGAGCCACTGCTTCATTAGCCATCATGCTGTGTTGCATAAAAATAGAGCGTCTTTGCATAAGTTAATGCGAGTGCTTGCTCAATCTCATTGTGGAACCAGTATAAAGTGCTCTGCATGCAGCATTTCAGCATACTGCTATTTCATGCCGTGTTTTAGTGGACAAGCATAATAATATATTATTAGTGATGTTGTAAAGGAGTAGTTTGGCCATGAAGATGTTTGGTATGGCTAGTAAATTACCAGTGCTTCCAAAAGGCACTGGTAAAAGTTTTATTTTGCAGAGTTGTTGGCACCATCTCTTAACTCAAATTGTCTGCCTGAGAATAGAATTGTAGTTTAACCCCTCCACCTCCCTCCATCTGAAATGAGTTTCGAATACTAATACAAACAATATTTGAGATTATTCAAATGAATTTGATCTGAATGGCTCCCCAGTCCCCTTGCTTTTTTTAGTGCTTCCATTTTGTGTGCATGTGTGTGCATGTTTGTATCTTTACCGTTTTCAGGTGATACGGCAGCGAGAGAATTGCAGATGGTCTTGCTGCTAAGGCGTTAAAGTGCATGTACTGCTGAGCACCTAAGTACATACAACCTATGAATTGGAACAAAGCTGCTTTCTATTTGTCTATCCTCTGACATGCTGTCATTCTTGATTTATCTAATAGCAGCGACATATTATCCAAGTGAAATGGTTTGTCTCTTAGCCTTCTTTCACATTACTGCTTTTCTTTATAAAACTGAAAATCACTTAGTTTAACATTGAGTTTCCTTGGTTAATCTAACATTTTTTATGAAAGCTATTATTTGCATGTCATTTCATAGAAAGCTGGTATCAGGAAGTTTACTTGTTATTTCCATATATGCCATAGTCACTAGCATAATTTGCTGACTGCTTTTTATTTTAGGGCTTGAAATAGGGACTATGCAAACTATATTAAAAATTTGTAATTATGTCCTCAGGAACACAGTGTGCAAAATATTACATTTGCTTGATTCTAACCGAAAAGTTGACTGACCAGAAAGAGCAGCATGTGAGAAGTAAACAATATTTTGTAACACATTGTGGCATTGGCCACACTGTGAGTTCATGCGCACAGTTAATTTAACAGAAAGGGGTCATAGTTTGTACTATATTATTGCTGGATGGGGGATTGATCACAACTACATTTCAACCATTTGTACTGTGATTATCCGCTAGATGTAGCCCTAATATTTTTTATACATGATTTGTTGTTATGGTTTTAGTGACAGTGATAGTTTCTGGCTGGTGTTTGCAGTGGTTCGCTGGCATTTTCAAAAAAGTTTACTTTCGCTGATTTACCCTGCCAATATACCTACTGCCACTGTGCGGCAAGCTTATTAACTTTTTCAGGGTGGTGTGAATCGTGTTGAAAGTGAATGTGACACAGTAAATGCTTTCGATTTGGTCTAATATTTGGCAAGCTCCACTCTCTTTTTCAATGATCTTGTGTGGTGTGGATAACAGCCCTGGCGGCTTTTACAGAGCTATTGAAGAATACTCGGAGAGAGTTGAAGTGGGCAAAGCGACTGGATTGTGTGGATCAAATTACTTTATCTGCATTGTCTGGACTTTAGTATATTTTATCAAGACTGAACAAATATTTTCAGAGGTCCGTTCGAACTTTTAAGTATGCTGTCACAGCAATGCCGCTAGGCAGTCTTCTTGAAAAATATGTTGGTACCTTGTGAAATGTGGGACAGTCAACATTCAATCCGCATGATTGAATGTGTGTTTTTTGAGCTGTGTTTCTTTTTCTTTGTTCAAACCATCCTGAATCGTTACTGGAATGTAAGGGTCCGAATGTCATTCTTTAATGCTGTTTGCATATCTTTTATGTAATGGGTCTGGTATATCAATTGAGAAATTCATGCCCTTTAGATAGTATTTCACATGTCCAAATTTATGTGTGGCCTAGCATTATCGAGTTTAGCATGAATTGTGAATAAGCATGCGAGTCAATATAAAGCCAATGGTGACATGTATGCTTTCTTGGCGTCTGCCACACATTGCTGAATTCATTCATTTTCCTGCCATTGTGTATTGGCAGTAATGGTGCTCATCAGCTGAGCACAAAGTTGCACTTGCAGTGCTTACTCATTGGGGCTGGGTTAGTGTTGATTTGAAATGCGAAGTTATCTATGGGGTGAAATCTGGTTTTGTATTAGAACTTAAGACTATGCAAATTGACCCTTAGCCTTCCTCTAACTAGACAACATTGTGGGATGTGAAAATTTTAGGATTATCACATATGAGAAATCTGTATGACCAAAAACATCACATCTGTCGATATTGTGTTGTTAATCTGTGGTTACTTTCATTGCATGACATACGGGTAAAGCCAGTTTACTACTTGTGAGGGTATGCTCATGACTGTGCAGCATTTTCTGCATTCTTTGAGCAAGGAGGGAGTTTCAGTAGTATGACCTGTTGCTCAGGTGGAGGTCAGATTGAGATAGAAGAGTGCTCCAAGCGAGGATGTGGGAAAGGAGGCCTAACCTTAATTGATTGGGTTGCCATGGAGAGCTGACTGTATTGATCCCGTTGCCGTGGCAGCAGCTCCACGTGTTTTGGCTTCTCAGTTCTCTCTCCCTCTTCTCCTCCTTGGTATTGATTAAAGGGCGGGCCTTTGCAGTCTGTTTCCCGCCCCTTTGAAGGAAGCAGAGGGGACTAAAACTTTGTCGAAGTAATTGCATACAGTTTGGCCAAAGTTGACCGGGATTTGGTGCACTGCAGCATAGAGAGGATAATGGGGAGGAAAGCACCAAAGTTCTATAAATTAGAAATCCCTTGGAGTATTGCTAGATAAAGTTTTTCCTGTGATGGCTCCACTTTTTTTCCTTGTAACTTCGAGGAAAACTAATACCTGACATGAATTTTCTTTTAAAGTTTGTGTGTGTGTTTTTTTCCTTATTTTATTCTAGGGGCTTGGTGGGCAGTACCCAACAGATCCTTTAAAGGAGCAACTTGCCAAAGACAATGCTGTCATTGTAAGTGATGCCATGAAGTACATTTTTAAAATTACTGAGTGCTTTTACAGGGCTTTGCTGTTGAACATCTGTTATAATGCTACGCTGGGAAAAAAATATGCATTTTCATCGGTATAATTATAAATGTACATTTGTGTAATTATCTGCTTTGTAGGTTATGGCGAGTCTTGTAGATAGTGCACCTCACACTATGGTTCTAGAAGAGAGGTGACTGGTTTTATCTCCAGCACAGCTTGTGCAAGTGGTGATTCTGTTCACTTTTCAACTCTTTCAGTAGGCTGTAATTCAATTAACTGAAGTAATTCTCTTCTCTCTTAGCATGCATGAACTGTGTGCTTGCTTTTTTGCTATAAGGTGCTCTACATCCCTGTTTTAATCTATTTATAATACCCATATTCTACTGGTACCCTGGGTTGAGAATGTTCTTTAAATCGACTACTCTGGCTCCACCTTTCATGCAGGTTTGCACGGAGGGTCGCCTCATCCTTGAATTCACTTTTGATGATCTGATGCGCATCAAGTCTTGGCACTTTGCAACTCGCACACATAGAGAGCTGGTTCCACGAAGTCTAATTGCCATCCAGGTGAGATATGCGGTACGTTGCTCAAACTTTTTATTCTAAACATATATATAGTATAGTACTCTAGAGATGCTGCATAGTTCAACGACAATGTAGTTAAAGGCTGTTTGGGAAGCATGCCACTTTACCTGCCTCCCTCTTCACGTAGTGCTTGTGCAAAGTTGTTCTACAGAAATATGGGGGAGCTTTGGTTTCTCAGTGATTTTCTCATTGTATTATGAGGATTACCAGGCTACCAGAGTTGAAAATGGCTGTAACAAAAGGTAGTAGCTGCATTTCATTTTGTTTTGTTGAGTGGCACTACATGTAAGAAAAGGAAATTGTCGTACCATTATTTCGTTGATGGGAAACCATGAAAGTACTGCAAGTTAGCAATTGTCTCACTACGGACTTCATGTAGCAGTATGCAAGTAGAATATATTAGGAACTGTTCATGTATCAGTAGTTATTAGGAACTGCTGATACTGATGGTACTTTCTTTTTGGAAACTGCAAGAAGTATTGGCATCCAAAAAAACAGAAACAGCAGCAAGCATTAAAAATGGGATAGTGCACCTGTCCAGTCATGACCATTAACAGGCATTTAGCAAGCATTAAAAATGGGATAGTGCACTCGTCCAGCCTTGACCATTAACAGGCATTCAGCACTCTGGTTTGGCTGAAATGTGCAAGTCCATGGTGATGACTGGAAAGTGTGCACTTTATCATTACTTTGCCTCTGTTCGCATTTCATTTGACACCAATATGATGTAGAGTCACTTAATGGCCATGTCACCCAGGCACGTAGGCAGAAATTTGTTTCGGGGAGGGGAGGTGGCTGCACCACCTTGATTTCGGGAGGGACACCCTCTAAAAATGGCCATTTTTCGCACTCTATACCATGGCAAAAAAAATTCGGGGGAGGGGGGGCACGTGCTCGGTGTGCCACCACCCCATGGCTCCGCCCCTGGTCACAACCATCAGTTAGCCATTTCCGTGCTGTGGCCCTTTGCTAGTTGGGCATGTTCCGTCTGTTTAACAAGACATACTTATCATTATGGAAGTGAGCTTAATGCTGTTCGATACTCGGGGTTTCTGCATTTTACTAGGTGGGTCACTGACAATGCTACAGATATGTATTGACTAAAAAAGTTTGGTCAGCTGATCATTGCATTTGTTGCTTCCTTCATGCTGCAAGTTAACTGTTGTTCTCAGATCCATTCATTGCTTTATTCTAATGAGAGAGGCTGTATTATCTGATCATTGGTTGACCCCTGTGGCAAGCTCATTCCTGCCAACTGTCCAGAAATTTCCAGCAGAGTTGTGAATGTTGGCCTGATCTCCCGATTGTACGAATGCTATCTCAAATCACACGAAAAGTAGGTGCCACAGCAGAGGCTGTTTAATCCTATGTCAGCCTTTCTTGCTGCAACAGTTGCGTAGCTACGGAAGAACGCTCGCCACTACACTTCTAGTTCATTGTAACCATACCATAGAGTACCGCTTAGTATATTCCAAGCACTGGGCAAATGCTAGCAGCCTCGAGATGCGCTCACCACCGTACCAAATGAAGGCACGAAAAGGGTACCTTGACTTTCGCACCTGTCTACCCTGGCCCCTGCATTTTATACGCTAGGCATACGCCGGTTGCCTGGGAGTCAGTTGTATTTGTTACGTTGTTTTAGAGATTGCGTGTTTCCCAAGTTCAAGTGGAAAGTCGATGGTGGCGTCAAAAGCTAAGAAGTGCTTACAAGTGTTTCTGGACTCGTACACGACTGAGTCCGTGCTGTTTGACTTCGCAAAAATGTGGCAAGTATGGATTTTGTATTACGGGGGCCTGTGATGGAAGTGTTTCTCACAGCGGCAAGACCGACGCATCGCTTCACAAACGGATTAGAACTACTTTTGTGCTGCACATGGGCAGAACAACATCGAAACTTTATTCCAAAATAACTGTGAAAACAGCGCGATTCACGCAATATACCTATTCGTGGGATTTATTTTAGAGCAGGACTTGCCGCTACGCGTAAGTGATCACGCAGGACCGCAGTTTCGGAAAATGTTCCCGAAGTGCGAGGACACGAAGCAGTGTACTGCAGACGTACGAGACCAACTGCCATAGTCAGGGAAATGCCTCCAGATGCCGAGAACACAATTCATGGAGGCTCTGAAATGTCATGCTTGCATATTCGCAGTGTAAGAAAGCAAACAGCGCGCTACAAATGTTTTACTTTCGGCAATTTTTAATATGTAACCCCCACCCTCCCACTCGCTATGGTCTCTCGAATTTGATGTGCCTTGGTTGGCAGGTATGCAAGCTATACACACTACAGTTCCACCTCTGTGGCTGAAAATGTTAAATGTTACTTTCTGCAGGGTGCTTTCATATGCTGCAATTTGGCAGCCACCATTTTCATCTCAGTGGCCAGCTGGTTGTTGCAGCATGTGTGTTGCAGCATGTGTGTGTGACAAACCAGCATTATATGCACAACATTGGTCGGCATAAAAACTGGAGCTTACTCAAACCTATTCGAGAAATATATTTCGCGCTTAGGGCAAGGGTTCAGACGCTCCATAGTTTTTCTGAATCGGGCTCGCTCTTAATCAGGCTTACTGAAATTTTTTGCAGCCGTACTCACTTAGGCTCAAGCTACTCACTCAGACTCACAGCCCAATCAGAATCTGAGTGAGTCAACAAATGAGTGCATTGGTGTATACCGTATTTACTGGCGTAATCCTCACACACGCATAATTCTTGCACCCCCCACAGCGCCAAACAAAAATAGGATTTCTCTTTTTTTTTTCGCGAGTAATTATCGCACTCTCCAAAATTACAGCAGTAATGTCTGCTCGTTCGAGCCACTGATAATGATAGCACATGCTATCTCATGCGATCTCTTAAGGGGGGAGGTGGGGATCGAAAGTGAAATTCTTTAGTTTTTGTCGTAGAGCAATGAAATTTGGCATGCTTACTGGAAACTGCGCTAAATGATAAATGACAAAGTTTCATTCAGCTATCTCCAGTAGTTCTGGCATTATAAATTTTTTTATCCATCAGTGTACTACCAAACTTGCCCAAAGCCTGGTGTGACAAAAAAAAACATGGTAGAAGCCTATAGTTGCTCTTATATTTTAGCCATTCGGATGGTTGATGTCGTGACATTCTGCAAATATTTTTATGACTCTGTTTTTATTTTACAGAGAACATTGTATACATGCTTGTAAATGTGGTCGTTATCATAATGTGAAATTAGCTTAGGAGTAAAAATACTGAGGTAGTAATTAACAAATATGAAAACGTCACGACATAGAAAATTCACTGAGGAACACAATGCAAAAAACCACATGAAAATCCGTCAAGCCATAGTCATGCAAGCATCGTGGCAAGCTGGACAGTCGGGTCAAAACACGTTTCTGAGAAAACTGGCGTTAAAGTTGAACAGTCAGTAAAGGTCCATCAAAATGCCCCGGGACTGTAATACTTTGTGTCTTTGCTTGCGAGGGTCTTCTTACGTCCTTTCTCTTTCATTTTTTCTGCACTGCGTGCTTTTCGTTTTCTTTGCTGGTCTTTTTCTTCAGCTCTTTGAAGGGCGAGGCTAGCAGGTTTGATGCCCACGGACTTGCACATTTCAGTGTAGGCTCGCAAATTCCCAAAATTGTAGCGTGCAACTGCTTCATGTACTGTTGTCTCCACTGCGAACAATGAAGCGTGTTGGTCCTTTGAAGTCAGTGACCAAATAACTGAATGCAAGCTTTCCGCCGCATTCCGAGTTTTGTTGCCTTTGCATCGCTCCAACAGTTGCGGGTCAGAGAGACGTTAATATACAGGCAGCAGAGCCTCCGCTACACGTTTCGACAGGTTATACCTGTGAGGTGGTGCTGGCTCCATTTTGGCCTGTGCTGAACGATGTTTGCACCAGCTATCAGGGCCAGGTGGGCAGAGCTCATAGTGAGGCTCGTCGTCGGTGGACGTGACGTGATAAAAAGTGGCCATCACGGCCCTTTGCATGTCAGGGACACTTGTGTGTTTTCGCAAGGCTAACCCGTAGTAGCTGGTCAGTTTTTTAATCAACTCCTGCGTCAGTCCACCTCTCCCACCCAATGGCTCCCCTTTCTTAGCTCTTGTCACCAGTGTGCGGAGAGCGGTGCCCATTCTCTTCTGCACATGGTTCACGCAGTCTTCTTTGGTCAGTGGTATGAAGCCGTACACCTCATCTTTGCACAGAGCAAGATAGGTTCGGCTGTCACCATCACATATAATGTTGGTGTAGCGGAGGCCATACCTGCTGACAGAGCGCCTGAAAAGTGTCAGAGCAGCCTCCACTTTCATCTGTCCGGAGCCAACATCAGTATTCTTCTGACATTGATGTTTCTCAGCCCAAGTGACGAAGTTGGGGTCGCTCTCTGCTGGTTGTTGACAACACCCAAGACAGAAGTTGGAAAGGACTGTGCAATCCAGCACAAGCCCCGTGTAAAACTCAATAATACATCCTACCCCAATGTGTGAGCTGTGGCCTCTTGTAAGCCACGTGCCGTCATACACAACTGTGATGTTGTTTGGGCTTGATGGCTGCATCTTACTGTACACGTCTTTTACCGCAAGCACAGCATCTGCAAAGATGTTTTGTGCAGCTTCCTCTGCTCCTGGTTTGAATGTTTTTTTTAGGTGTTCCTGATAGGTTTTTTGATGAATGCCCCGATGAGAGACATTCATTGTAGCCCAGAAGTCATTCAGGGCAGTGGGCCCTTTTCCAATGGACTTGATTGCTTGCATGGCTCTTAGGTTGACTTCAAAAGCCCTTCCTTCGGATTTTCTACTGGATGACCAAGGTGAATGAATAGGGCCACAGGAAGCACACAAAAGTACCAGTTTTACTGCCAGGCCCAATTTTGTCCCATGCTGCACTGACAAAGTCTTCTTACAACATTTTGGGCAGAGTGCAGGTCCTATTAGGGAATTCATGGCAGAAACCTGAATTAGGGTGAACTCATTCTCTTTTGTTGCCGATGTTTGCTCCGTTTGCTGCGCGAACCCGA